CCCGGCTGCTGACCTGTCCAGGGCAGACCCCCCACGACAGCCCGGCCCTGGGCCCCTGCCCCTGCCCCCCGCTTTCCGAGGACAGGGGTCCGAGGAGGGCCGGGCAAGGCGGGCAGACCCAGCGTGGGCGGAGACAGACAAGGCGTGGCCCGGGCAGGGGGTCATCAGCAGGCGCCTGCCGGCACATGCGTGGCACACGCATGACACACTGCACACGTGTGGCGCAGGCACACAGGCGCCCACCGCGCCCCCCCAGACGACGAAGGCAAAGTGGCGCGGCCTCGGGGCCACCCGCACACACCCGCGGCTCAGAACCACACAGACGTCTCCTCTCCCGGTCTGGGAGCCGGAAGTCGGCACCATCGGCAGAGGCCGCTCCCCGCAAGGCGAGGGTCTCCCCCACCCTGGGGGCCAGTGACCGCGGGCTCCTCCCGCGAGGACCCGTCCTGGGCTTTGGGCCGCCCCAATCTACCTCGACATCGCGTCCCGGCTTCTGTCGACCACGGTCCGGCTGCAGCTCAACTTCCCAGAGCCCGCGAGACACCCCCTCAGCCCACGAGACACCCCCTCAGCCCACGAGACACCCCATCAGCCCACGAGGCACCCCTCCAGCCTGCGAGACACCCCCTCAGCCTGCGAGACACCCTCAGCCCGCGAGACACCCTCAGCCCGAGAGTCACCCCTCAAACTCGCAAGACACCCCCTCAGCCCACAAGAAACCCCTCCAGCCCATGAGGCACCCCGCAAACCTGCGAGACACCCCTTCAGCCCGTGAGACACCCCTCCAGCCTGCGAAACATGCCCTCAGCCCGCAAGGCACCCTCAGCCCACGAGATACCCCTCCAGCCCACGAGGCACCCCCAAACCTGCGAGACACCCCCTCAGCCCGTGAGACACCCCTCCAGCCTGCGAGACATGCCCTCAGCCCGCGAGGCACCCCTCCAGCCTGCGAGACACCCCCTCAGCCTGCGAGACACCCTCAGCCCGAGAGTCACCCCTCAAACCCGCGAGACACCCCCTCAGCCCACAAGAAACCCCTCCAGCCCGCGAGACACCCTCAGCCCGCAAGAGCCTTTGAGCGGTTGCAGACAAGAATGGGAAGAGACTTAGAGAAGGAGGCTCCCGCTGGAAGGGCCCCAGGCGGGGGAAGCGGGGTGCTTCGCGCTGCTCTTCAGGCTGCCAAGGGAAGAGGAGCTGTCTGGTCCTCAGTCGGTCAGCACCAGCAGGGGGCTGAAGCGCTCCCGGGGCTGTGTGACCCTGGGTGAGTGGCTCAGCCTCTCTGTGCCGCAGCGCTCGCAGGGGCGCCGTGTGCCCACCTGGGGGCGCTCGCTGAGGCCGGGGTCCCAGCCAAGGGGTTGGGGGGCCAGGGTTCCCCCACGATCGGACCCGGAGGGCCTTCGCAGCCACTTCCCCCTCGTTGCCCTCCCCCCTGGAAAGCCAACACCCGGCTCTCCCTCGGGGGGCACACCCCGGCGTGAGGGCTGCACCCCTGAGCAGCCAGGACTGACGGGCCCTCAGGAGCCAATCTGCACCCTCCCGAGGATGCGGGTGAGGTGGGGGGGGGCAGGTGGACACCGAGGATGCGGGTGAGGTGGGGGGGGGCTGATGTGTCTGTGCTGCTCCCTAGTGAGTGGGTGCCGCCGGAGGGTGGCGGGCCTCTGACCGGAAGCGGGGGGCCGAGCTGCCGCCACAGGCGGGACCCTCGCAGCTGCGGGTCAGGGCGGCCCGGCAAGGCTGGCCGACCCTCTACCCGGAGCCCTCGGGCACAACCCACGGTGGGGGCAGCGGGGGCCTGCGGGCCTCTGAGTCTTCGGAAGGGCCCCCCGGCTGCAGCCTGCCTGCCGGGACAGCGGGGTCACTCCCCAGAGCCCCGCACCTCAGGCGCGGCTGCAAACGGGAGCCTGGACCTGGGAGGTGGCCTGGCACCGCCCGCGTGCAGGGCTCCTTCCCCGGCAGGGCGGGAGAGTGCCCCCAGCCCCCAGAGCCTCAGCACTTGGCCTTATTTGGAAATGGGGTCTCTGCCGTGTAACTAGTCCGCAAAGGTGGCCCACACCTAGCTGCTATGGCCAGATGGCGTCCTCAGAGAGGCCACATGGAGAACCCGGGCGAAGGAGCGTAGCCACAGAGGCAGCCGGGGGTGCCAGGGGTCCCCAGGCAGAACGGGACCCACAGATCCTCCCACAGCCTGGCTTGGTTTCGGACTTCCAGCCTCAGAACTGGGGGAGGTAAAGCACTCCCGAGGGGTTCACCTGCCTGGCTTTGGGCCCCCCGGGGCGCAGGGGTCAAAGCGCAGCTCTACGGAGTGTCCGCAGCCACGGCAGGGCGAGGCCTCCCCGGCCAGGGCGGGACCCAGGGCGCAGGGACCCCCCCGCTCCCCGCTGCCCGCTCAGCAGTGGGTTCCAGTCCATCCGCCTGTCCTGCTCCCCGCTCTGTCTCCGGGGAGTCCTCACCCCGCACCCCCGGCCTGCGCCCCAGCTCTTGTGTGCTGTCTGGTTTCTGGCCGCCGTTCCAGTGGCTGCGGGGCTTGTCACGCACTCAGCGGGGACGTGGGCTTTACCCATCAGAGGCAGAGTCTGGGCCCCGC